TCACATACCTTTAGTGATCTTCCTCAGATAAAATGACAAGAAATTCAGGGTTGGCAACATCATGTCTATTGTCTGATGAACATTTGGAAAGAAAAATATTAAATTATATTCTTGCGTAAAATTTCCATACTATTTCTTCTTGATGTGACAAATTGTTTAGTGAGAATTACTATTCTCAGGAAAAATTATTAAAGATTTAACTGTATGTCATCTAACAATCATAGTAAATGTAGTTGTGAATTCTAAGTTATGAACTGTTTGACAACATAAACTTAATATCTGGGAATTAGGGCCAATTCATTTCTTCCTTTCTAGATACTGTGTTTGATTTTCATCTCCCTACTTAATTATCCTGGAATTGAAATGGTAGTAGCATTCTTGCCTCAATCCTGCTTTTATGCTAAGATTTTCAATATTGGGTTACTAATTATGGTATTTGCTGTTGATTTCTGGGCTTTAGAAAATCAAAAGTAGAACTGAAGAGTCAGGTATGGTGCTATAGCTTGTAATGCCACTGCTTGGTGGTGAAGGTAGGAGGTTCATGAGTTCAAGGTCATCCTCAGCTACACAGGAAATTCAATACCAACTTAGATTACTGGAGCTTCTGTCTCAAAAAATGAAAACAGAACCACCATCAACTACCACAAATCCCTAGATGGTAAATATGGTAGATTGTTATTTGCATTTGTTGTGTGACATAATGTTTGTCATTTAGTATCTTATAAAGAAGTAGATTTCAGTATTTTACAGCAGTAAGAATTTCTTTCAGAGTTAGAACCATTTCATTCATGATGTCTTACACCTGGATGTGTCTTTGGATTCCAGTTATACAAGCATAACATGTACATATCTCAAAATGAGTTGGAAGCATTGCTATTCCTTTATTGTCATATCCTTATCAGTTTAATATAAAGTTACAGTGGTGTAAGCAATTTTTGTGTTGTATTTCATTATTTTGTGGGAAAATGTGCACTATTATATTTTTCATATTAATACCTGAAATTTGTGGCAAAGTTTGCAGGATCATACATTAGAAGTCAGTACATGCTTGTACGGATGGATTATTTTTGGTTATGGCCTGAATTTATTTAAACCATGCAGAATATTTGACGTTTTGTAACTTTCCTATTTTATTATTTTGCGTATATAGAAATTCTATTTTTATATAATTGCAAATATTACTTAAGTATTTCAAACAAAATAGTTGATAAATTATCAATTCTTTACTTAGATCACCCTTGCCTGGGTTCATGTCTCTAATTTTAATGTATATTTCTATTGCATTTTTGTGCATTTTATAGAATACTTCATAATAATCTTTCTACACTCTCTCCCATCCACACCCGGAGAGCCTCCCCACCAGATTTCTTGCACTCTGTCATATATGGTAAGGCCAATCCAGTCAAGCTTTTATACACAGATGTCTCTAGCTCATCCACTAGACTCAGCCTATCTAGATTAACTCCCTTTAAAAAGATCAACCCTCCCTCACCCAGCATTAATCAGTTGCCAATAGTTCTGGACGGGGGCCTGCTGCCCATTTCCCCAATTCTATGATGGGTTTTGTCTTACTGAGCCAGCATGGGTCTTGTGCATGCTGTCACCACCACCGCGCATTCATATGAGCAAGTTCCCAGAGCCTGAAAACCTCTGCTTCCTTATGTTCATGCACCAACCAGGGCTCTTACAATCGTTCCACCCCCTCTTCTGCAATGGTTCCTGAGTCATGGTTGGGTGAAATTTCTCCTGTGTGTGTTCTATTTTGTGTAGCCAGGTATGACTTATCATAAAATACTTTTCTACATTCCTGACATTCATACGGTTTCTCCCCTGTATGTGTTCTCAAGTGTTGAGAGAGAGTTGACTTACGGCTAAAGAATTTCCCACATTCTGAGCATGTAAAGAGATTCTCTCCTGTGTGTGCTCTCTCATGAACTGTGAGGTCTGATTTTAAGCAGAAGGCCTTCCCACATTCATAAAATTCATAAGGTTTTAATCCTGTATGTGTTATCTGATGCCTGGTGAGTACTGATTTGTGGTAGAAACTTTTACCACATATATTACATATGTAAGGCTTATTCCCCATGTGAATTATCTGATGTTGTTCTAGATGGGTTTTTTTTGACCAAAGGACTTTCCACAATCTGGACATCCATAAGGTGATTTTTGACAAAAGGATTTCCCACAATCTGGACATCTGAAGGGCTTCTCCCCTGTATGTGTTCTCTGATGTACTGTAAGGTTTGAATTTGTAAAAAACAATTTTCCACATTCATAACATTCATAGGGTTTCAGTCCTGTATGTGTTCTCTGGGGCACTCTGAGACATGCCTTATAGCTAAAGGCTTTCCCACATCGATTGTATTCATAGGGCTTCTCTCCTGTATGTGTTCTCTGATGTTTAGTGAGGTTTGACTTGTCCTGAAGGCTTTTCCACAAACATCACATTGAAAGCATTTCTCTCCTGTGTGTGCTGTCTGATGTCATATGAGATGTGACTTCTCACAGGAAGCTTTGCCACATTCTTTACACTCTAAGTACTTCTGTCTTATGAGTTTTTTGAACTTGTGAGAGACATAACTTCCTCCTAATATTATTCTCCATTTTATTATGCTCACAGTGTTTGATACGCACACCATCATGTTGGAAAGCCGTGGACTTCTCACAATCATTAAGTTCACAGTGATTCTCTTCAGTGAGAGACAGCCGAGGGAACACCAGTGATGAACCATCAGAGAAAGTTCTCCCATATGCACTACATTCATAGTCTCTATCTTCTGTGCATTGATGCTTGTGTGGATTGAGCATTTTCTTTCCAAGGATGGCCTCCTGACACACATTATATTCAAAAGTATGCTCTAAAGTCTCGAATTTTTCATGCTGAATAGGACTTGCATGATCATCAGGTGTAGCTTTATTTTTTAAAACTTCACTTTTCTCTCTAGTAAGGGTTTTCTCACATTTAATGTTGAACAATAATTTTCCACAGGTATTAAATTTATCCAGATTTTTTCTTAAGTTAGTTTTCCTAATAAGTAATTCTGAAATATTGTTGAAATTAATTCCATGTGAGTCATACTTACAGGGTATTTCTATGGAAAGAAATGAATTTATGTCCAAGTTAAATGGGTTTCCTATTTCATTACCTTGTTCACTAATCAGCATTTTGTTATTCATGAATGCATTTTTCCATGAATATTTAGGTTGGTTTTCTTGGCTCCTGTCATTTGAGCAACCAGCTTTCCAAGTTTCTGGAAATAAGAAAAATTAATCTTACTGTATAAACATTAGTACATTTTTTATGAAATAATATCTCTCTACAAAATCCTGTGCCATAGTTCACTGTGGTTTTCTTTTGTTCAGTTTCCTGGAATAAAAATAATTGTATATACACATTTTTTTCTAGTCCATGAATTGTGATAAAAATTTTAAAAACAAACAGAAGATCTAGTACAGCAAAAAAAGGAGGGGAACATGACTATGACAAAACATAATGGTGATTTTCAATGTAGAAATAATAATCTAAATCTCTCCATGCATCCTCCAAAAAATTGTAAGGATTGATTTAAGGAGGGCAAATGACATAACCAATGACAACCAATGAAGATAGCATAGTAGGGAGACAGAGAATACCACAATTTATTTCTAAATTATTTATTTATTTCACATGTAGGTATGTGTGCCTGCTTTAGCTTATGTGTATCACATGCATGCAAGTGCCCATGGAGGCCAGACAAGTGCATTAGATGCCTCAGAAGTAGATTAAAAGCGAATCTTGAGCTGTCAGGTGGGTGTTGAGAATGAAAACTGCACCCTCTACAGTAGCAATAAGTGCTCTTAACAACTGAGTCATCTCTCTAGTCCCAAGAATACTATGTGTTGTAATTGCTACTAAAGAAATAAATATTTAAACATAGAACAAACAGCCCATATCTATGTAGTTTTCTGAGTCTAGAAGTGACAATGAAAATTATTTCCAGATAGAAAGTTTCCCTCCAAGTTAAAAAATACTGCTATTGTGGTCCAGGGGGACCACAATTCTTTAATGAAGTTCAAAGTCTTGTGACATTCACTTTCTACTTAAAGAACTTCCTCTTAATCATTTTAAAGGTACATTTGCTAGCAACACAATCTCTTGGTTTTCTTTTATCTTATTGTATTTTTAGTTCCTTTTCTTTCATAAGTACATTTTCAGAAGACTTACAGTGTTTGAGAGTTCTTTTCTGTCAATCCTTAAAGAGGAACTTCTTCCACCATGGTCCAATGAAAAACGCATGTCATTCCCTAGAAGTAATGTCTTATTTGAATTATAATTAATGAGTGTGATTTACTCAGCATATACCTTCAGCAAAGATTTCCCCGAACTTATTTGCACAATGTTAACTCATATTTTTTAAATTTATTTTTATTTTATGTGTATGAGTGTATTGCCTGCATATATGTTTAGTGCAATGCCCATGGAAGTCAGAAGAGGGCATTGGATCCCTTAGAACTGGAGTTTCAGACAGGTGTTAGCCACCATGTGGGTACTGGGAACCGAACTTGGGTCCTCTGCAAGAGCAAGTTCTTTTAACTGCTGAGCCATTTCCCCAGTCCTTAATTTATATTTTTGAATATGTCATTTTTATATGTTTTGATAAAGTTGGGAAATGTTCACCCATTATATCCCAAAACATTTCAAATATCTTTCTTAGCTCATGCAGTAGTGTGATGTTAACAAATGATAATTCTTTTTAGCAACCTATTTCAAATATTGAGAGAAATAAACAATTTCTCTTAACTGTGATGCCTCCAATTTATCCAAGCCACCATCATCATTTATAAGGAGAAATACAATGGTAACCTAATGAACTGTCTACACCCTTATGTAACCTTAAATTTTTCTCTGATGAGTTAGGAGAGATCATATATGAATGTATATCACCTGCTGCTTGTCTGCTGAAAAATCCACTAATAAAATTATTCAACAAAGCCTGTAATAGTCCCATTATTTAGACTACATACAACCTCTCCGACACAGGATGATCCTCCCCATGTTAACTACTTCCTTTCAGTCACTGTGGCATTTGTTGTTCTTAAAAAATACCAAGCACATTCCTGTCCAAGGGCTCAGCAGTCACTGTTGGCCCTGCTAATAATGCAGAATCCCACTGGCTCACTGATTAACTTCTATCATTTTTCTGCTATAGTGTTGACCTTACTTAGATTCCCTTGACAGTTCTTAAAGTAGAATACCCTACCTACATAAAATTGCATTAATTTATTTGATGGTCTGTACTATCACAGAACATTTCAAATAAGTATCTGTGCGTATATTTAATGTTTTGTGTAAAATCATTTAGCCCATTTCTATATCCTCAGCTCTTAGAGAATGATTAGCATAGAATAAGAATTCAAACACCTGCCTGGCATGCTGCTGAACACCCTTAATCTAAACACCAGAAAGGAACAGGTAAGCAGATCTCTGTGAGTTCAAGGCCAGCCTAATCTACCCAGGCCAGACAGGGTTCCATAGTGAATGTGAGTCTCAAAAAAACAAAAGAAAAAAGAGTTCCAAAATTAGGGAATGAAGAAATGAGTATGTGTAAGGGTGTTTAAAAACAAAGGTAATAAAGGAAAATAAAAGTAAAATGGGTAAATGGTACTGCACTGAGAAACAGAGTAGTGGAGAGTAACAGCAGGATTGACGGGACAAATGAAGTTTAGCGAGGCAAACATACAAATGTACAATATTTTAAAAATTATTCTTGCAGAAGACCTGAGTTTGAATTCCAGCACCCACATGACAGCTAACAACTGTTCATAACTCCAGTTCCAGGGGATCTGACAGCTTTCTGTCCACGTGGGCATTGCACAACATGGGTGCACTTACCTACATGCAGGCAATACACACATATACATAAAATAAAAATAAATATTTTAAAAAATAAATAAATTCAAAAACATATGACACTGGAAGTTTGATTTATGGATCACTAAGAGTCAGGTCCTTAAAAAGATATCCTTGGTACTCCCAGCATTTGAGATGCCAAGGCAGGAAAATTTTGAGTTCCAGGTCAGCTTGGGCTACACAACAAGCTGTAGAAGAAAAAACAGATAAAATAACAAAAAAAATCACTTTAATTTAAAATTTAATTTGTTGCCTGGTCTGGTGGTGCATGACTATAAATCCAAGCACTTGGGAGGTGAAGTTCAAAGGATCAGGAAATCAAGGAAATCCTTAGCTACATGGTGATTTCAAGGCCGGCATGGGCTACATGAGACCTTAGCTCAAAATAACACAAGAAGGAAATGAGAAGATTGAGGACAAGACACAGCCCAGTTCAACAGAATCCCTGGAGAAGGAACCAGGGCAAGTGGGACAACAGCTATCAGAAGAGGTTGGTGACAGCCAAAAATCTTTAGTTTCAACAGCAAACTAAAATGGGAATTTTACAAAGTAGAACAGGAAAAAATCAAAAGTCCCTATTAGAGGGACTGGTGGTGTTGTGGGGACTGATGGAGCCATGGCTTAAGACACAGAACCTCAGAAAATTGTACTCTCAATAACAGACATGCTACAGAGCAGAAAAGTGGGAGAAACAAGTTGTAGGGCCCTGGCAAAGGGAGGAGAGGCACTGCAAAAACCTCTACTCTTGGCTTTTGACGGGAGCAGCAGCAACATGACATTTGTAAAAATATTCCTGCTGAGTCAGTGGCATGGCTAATGCAGACACTGTCAACTGCACACTTGGGGAACTCAGATCAAGTGTCCTGGGATTGCACCGAAACCTGACCAGAAGACTATCTCTAGATTACAGGAAAGAGACTGTGAACCTAAAGCATGCTGTACTCAGTGTGGCGCAAACCTGGCCGCGGCCTAAGTCTGCGGGAAAACACACACACCAAGTTCCAAGCATATGCACTAGACATCAGGGAATGGGAGGTTTAATAACTCAAAAACTCCATGGAAACTCTATGAAAATAGTATTAGGCTGATACTAAAACCATATAAAGACACAGCAAAAAGAAAATTATAGTTAAATCTCATTAATAAAAACAGATGTAAAACTTCTCAGAAAAGTACTTGCAAATGGAATTCAAGAACACATTAAAAAGATCATCCACCATGATCAATTGGTCTCATTTCAGAGATGCAGGGATGGTTCAACCTACAAGTCAATAACTGTAATACATCACACAAATTTACTTGAGGATCTAAATCACACAATCATATCAACAGATGCAATAAAAAGTTTTTGACAAAAATCTCATATTCATCCATGAGAAAAGCGCAGACTTTAAGAATGGAAGGAACATAATTCAACATAATAAAGGCTACATATGACAAAACTATAGCCATTATACAAAATGGGAAACACTGCAAGCACTTCCACTAAAATCCAGAAGAACTGGATTTCCATGGGTGCTCTCATTCTCTACTCTTATTCAACAAGCTTGAAGTCTTAGCTAAAGTAGTAAGACAAGAGAAGGTGATAAAAGGCAAACAAACAGGAAAGGAAGAAGTCAAAGCATTCTCAGCAGATGATATAATCCAGACTCTAGAGACTCCATAGGGAAACTCTCATATCTGATAAGTACTTTCAGAAAAGTGGCAAGATACAAAATTAACATTAAACACAAATAGACTTCCTGAACACAAGTAACAAACATGTTGAAAAAGGAATCAAGGGGAAAAACATGCATAACTGCCTCAAAAAACAAAAAATAACTTGAAATAAACCTAATCATGGAAGAATAAGACATTTATAATAAAGGCTTTAAGGCACTGAAAAAGATATTGAAGAGACATCAGAAGAGAGAAAGACTTCCTATGCTCATGGGTTGGTAGGATAAAGACGTGAAAATAGCCGTCCTACCCAAAGTAATCCTGACTCAATGCAATCCTCATCAACAGTCTATTGCTAGTCTTCACACAAACACATACACATACAACAACAACAACAACAAACAAACAAACCCTGAAATCAACTTGGAAGTACAAAAGACCCCAGAGATCTAGAGCAATCCTGAGGGATGAAGAAGTAATGCTGGAGCTATCACCACCTGATTTTAAGCTACACCCCAGAGTTGTGGTAACCAAAACATCATGGTGCTGGCATGAAAACAGACATGCAGATCAATGCAGTAAAATAGAGGATCAAGATATAAACCCCAACAGCAACAGTCATCTGATTAAATTTTTTTTCATTTATATATCTTTATTTTATGTAGATGAGTGTTTTGCCTTCATGTAAGTACCTGTGTCAGACAATGTCCACAGAGGCAGGAAGAGGGTGTCAGATACCTTGGAATTAGACTTACTGAAGGTCGTTAGCTATGAAGCAGGTGCACAGTACCAAACCCAGGTCCTCTGCAAGACCTAAACCCATCTCTCTATGCATCAGTTACTTGATTCTAGAAAAAGATGCTGAAAAGATACAGTGGAGTAAAAACTGCCTCTTCAAGAAATAATGCTAGGAAAACTGGATATTTACATGTAAAAGAATGAAATTAGATCCTTCATCACCCTGCATGAAAAGCAACTCCACACGGACCAGTGACCTTTATGTGACATCTAAAACTCCAAATCCAGTAGAGGATAAAGTAGGGAAAACACTTCAGTGTAAAGGCACAAGGCAAGGACTTCTGACAAGGAATTCAATCATTCAGGAAATAAGGCACCACTGACAGATGGGATCTGAGGAATCAAACATTTCTGTACAGCAAAGAAACAATCAACTAAAGAGACAGCCTACAAATGAATGAAGTCTTTCTTAGGTATATATTTACCAGAGGAATAATAGGCAAAATACACAAGGAATTAAAAAATAGTAACAAATCAAGGAAGTCAGTCAATAAATGGGCTAATGAAACATACAGTTTTCAAGAGAAGAAATACAAATGGCCAGTAATCATATGAAAGAAGTTCAGCCTCACTAGCTATCAGAGAAATGGAAATCTAAAGTTAATTGAGAGTAATTCTCATCCCAGTCATTAATAATGAGAGTCACTAAGAAAACAAGTATCAACCAAAGCTGGAAAGGGTGTGGGACAAAGGGAACCAGAACCATCACACACTGCAGGTGAAAACATAAATTAGTTCAGTCACTATGGAGGGCCCTCTAAAAGCTAAATATATACACTGTTATATATGTACGCATACATATGTATGCATATATGATTTTTCATCCAAAATGAAGACGTGTCATTTTCAGAAAAATGGGTGCAACTGGAGATAATCTGACTAAGCAAATTAAGTCAGACTCAGAAAGGCAAATATCATATGTTTTCTCTCATTTGTGGTCCCCAGATTTTATATAGGTTCACAAAACCAAGTAGGTACATATGATATCACAGTACAAGTAACACTGGTTAGGAAAATAAAGGAAACTAAGCTGAAGGGTGGGAAGGAGGATGGTTATGTGTGTGGGAAAGGCTGAAATGTCTTATATACCTGTATGAAAATGTCCTGATGTACAATAACTATCTACAATGGGAAAATACATTCTCTTGAAAACTGTTACGATACTGCCAGTCTCTGAATCAGCTATTGGTATACAGTATGTCTAATGTTCATCTATGCAGTATACAAACTGACTGACCTCGGAAGCTCTGACTTGAGAATTTTTCCTCCAGCATCCACGGCTCCTCTCCTTGCTCCAGCTTGAAGATCACTTCTGACTTGGTCACACAATACCCTGTTAAAAGGACATAGGCTGGCAACATAGGTATCAAGCCTGTAACGCATAAGGCCACTGAACACCTCCATAGAGAAGTGAACAAAAGTATCTTCTGGGCTGGGGAGATGGCTCAGTGGGTAGAAGCACTTGTTACACAAGTGTGAGGACCTGAGTTTCCATGTTCAGAACTGTAGGTGTGTGACCTAAGTGTCTGGAATGAGAGTATCAATATGGGGGAGTTGGGAGGCAGAGACAGAAGAATCCCTATACATTTGCAGGCCAGCCTGTGCACACAGCAGAGAAACAAAGATGCTGTTGCAAACTGGGCGGAAAAGCCAGGACCAACACCCAAGGTTGTCCTCTGACTTCCACATGCATCATGAATGTGCCACCCCCCCATACCGTATCTTCTGATACCCAACATTGATAAAAAATTTTTCCAAATCTTTAATATTATTATATTATGAAAAGTGCCCAGATGCCTCATAATTAAAGGGATAAACAACTGTTGGTTGGCATCACACAGTAAATAGCCTTACCCACTGAGACAAGGTGACTGTAGTTCTCCAGCATCACCTCCCTGTACAGGGACCGTTGGCCAGGGTCCAGGTACTGCCACTCCTCCTGGGTGAAGCCCACAGTCACATCCTTAAAGGATACTACTCCCTGGGATTTTGGTTCCATCTGAAACAATTATAATTTGTTGTTATGGAAAAAGGTGTATGGGATGATTGCCTATTTTGATTACTGCTTACAGTTTACCAAGCTGGTTTAGAACATTTGCTTTAGGGGAGGAAGGAAAATAATAACAGCAATATATTCCCATTGTACTCAGGTAAAAATTATTTTTAGCCAAATTTAATTAGGATTTAAATTTCTATAATGAGAATTAATGAAAGATTAAAAAGATCAAGATCAAAATAAAAATGAAACCCACTAGAAATAGTTAAATGTGTAGAAATGTGTAAAAACAGCACACACTTTCAGCACCATTGTTGATCAGAAGAGAAAATACCTCTGCAAGTATTTGGACAGCATGTGTAATAAAACAGAGGCAGAAACTTAAATTTTCTCAGAAATGGTCAGATGCTAATCAATCAATCATGATACTATAGCATAGATAACATTCACTGATATTTAATTATACTGTAATTTTCAGCTGGAAGCGCTTTTCCCCTCATGTTCCTGGCACCCAGCCTCATTTGCTCCCACATACATAGGAATGCATAAGAAACGGAGAAGCTGAGATCCTGAGACTGAGTTACCTCACTTAGTGTTATACTTTCTAATTCCTTCCATTTTCCTAAAAAGGATTAGTGCTTGGATTATTCACATGAAGTAATGCTTAGAAATGTCCACCGTACATGTACAGACTAAAGGGGCTTTAATATTAACTCATCTTCAACCACAAAAAAGACCAAGATAGTCAATAATCAAAGATAATAGAAGAGCAATAATAATGAAACTTATACACAATGAAGGTCAATGAAATGAAAACTGTGTTCCTTGAAACACCACTACTATGTATATATGATTCAATTAATGTTAAAAAGAAATGCAAACGTGTGTCAGCACACAGGTCTGTGATGCGATCATTTGGGAGGCTGAAGCAAGAGACTCATGAGAAAAAGGCCAGCATGGGTTACACAGAGACCTAAGAACACAGGATGGCCAAAATAATACTGGTCAATAAAGAATGGCTGGGGGTATCGCCATCTGTGTTTTAAAGTTATATTGCAAAGCTATAGTAATAAAAACAGCATGGTACCAGCATAAAAACAGTCACAGTAATTAATGGAATAGAATTGAGGACATGGATATAAGTCCACACATCTACAGTCACCTGATTTTTTTGATAATGAGGCCATAAATGCACATTAGAGAAATGGCAGTATCTTCAACAAATAGTGCTGGTCAAACTTGACAGCCACAGGTGGGAGAATGAAACTAGATACTTACTTCTCACCCAGCACAAAACTGCGTGGATCAAGAACAACAAAATACAACCTGATACCCTGAGTCTGACGGAGGGGAAAATAGGGAATATTTTGAACTATTTTGGCAAAGAAAATGACTTTCTGAAGTAGACCCCAATCACTTAGGCATTAAGAACAAGAGCTGATAAATGGGACCACATGAAACTAAAAATCTTCTGTATAGCAAAAGACACCATTGCTTGAGTGAAAAAACAGCCTACAGAACAGGAAAAAAAATCTTTATAAGCCATACATCTGATAGAGGGTTAGTATCTAGATTATGGAAAGAACTAAAGAAACTAAACATCAAGAAAACAAATAACCCAATTTAAAAATGGGGCATTTATTTTGAGATGTGATCATACTTTATAGCTCTGGCTGGCCTTGAACTCCCTATCTTCTGTCTTAACTTCCTGAGTATTAAAATTATGGGTGGATATCACCATGCTGGGCTACTGTGGTAGGAATCATCCAGAACAAAGAAGGAATATAGCGTGGTCTGTGACTGAGTACACATACACAGTTCTGCTGTCATGACCTTGTAGCACAGAGCACTCAGTCAAGATCTGTGCTACCAAATATGGAAGACAAAGAAGCTGAACTATAAAGGGAAACTAACAGAGGGGTTAAAACCTCGGTCTTTATTCCAGGTATTCTCTGTACAAAACCACAGAGCCAGGTGCTAGCACAATATGCTGCTTCCTAGAGAAGAGAAATGTCTTGGTGTCTTATCTCTGCACACAGCACCTGTAACACTGCTTTACATATTTTAAAAGTATGCACAATAATACACAGGGTTGCTCAACTAGCTACTTATGGTTTTTTTTTAATATTTTATTTATTTTTATTTGATGCGTATGCGTGTATTGCCTGCATATAGGTAAGTGCACCCTTATCGTGCAATGCTCATGGAGGACAGAAGAGGCTGTCAGATCCCCTGGAACTGGAGTTACAGACAGTTGTTAGCTGCCATGTGGGTGCTGGGATTTGAACCCAAGTCTTCAGCAAGAATAGCCTTATGCTTTTAATGTAAATGTACAGGTAAAATAAGAAGACTAGACAAAGGATGGAAACTTGGAACTGAACTATGAGGTAAGAAGAGGATGCCAAGACAGAGCCTCCTAGAACACGACCAGAAGCTAACAAAGGGTATTTTCGAGGACAAGGCAGTCAATATGGTAACAACGTCCAAGTTGAAGGAATTCAACTACAATTTAGTCATTGGGGCATTACTTAAATAGATTCCAAACAAGGGAAGGTATGAAACTTGACTAAGAAGCTTAAAACCATTTACCAGAGAAATTAGCTTTTTACTGTGGGCTGTGCAACATATACACATGCCCTAAGATGAAATGGTCATGGAGAGTTTTGTTACAGCACACCAGCTGTAACTTCTCTAAAAAGACCAATACCTGGACACCTGTTGAACCACGTATTGAATCTGTGGGAATGGCTTTCATACATGGACATAATCTGGACTAATGACTCTTAATTAACCCCAGCAAAACTATGTGCTCTTGTATCTTGTAACTTTGTCACCTGATCTCCTTTCTTAGGTAACCCTCAATTTGGTATTCCACCCAAAAAATAAGGAATGAAAGCTGGGTGTGGTGGGCCACACCTTTAATCCCAGCATTTGGGAAGCAAATGAGAGTTCAAGGCCAGTCTGGTCTACATGGAGACCTGTCTCAAAAATACAAAAATAAATAAGGAATGAATGAGGGTATACTTGAGAATTAGTATATCAAAGCACTGAAAGGCTGTGCCCCATCTCTACTGGAAACAGTGGAGATTGGGAAGGAAGATTGACCTTGGATGAATGAGATATTCTAGAGCTAGATATGAAAAGGCTAGATGGTCTGTAAGAGTAGGGTTGAGCCAAGCTTGTAAGTCCACAATTGAAGCCAGAGAAAGCATTTTGAACAAAATTATGGGTTGGGCCTTAGTCTGGACACAGTTCCAACAAAACAGTTTCAACAGCACTGTTCAGGAGGCAGATGGTTCTAAAAGCTATCAAGAGAAATTAGTGTCTTCCAAATTTGGGCCTACTCTTAAAAACTAAAAGAATTAGGTTATTTGTTCAGGTAATTAAAATGTCGACATAGTAAATAGAACAGAACACTTTTGATCTCATTGAGAAACAGTTTTAAGGCAATGAACTACATTTATTTCAGGGGTACCAATGGAAGGTTATTCATTGTATGATTTGATCAAGGTGTCTTACAGGAAGTCTTTGGCTGAGCAAGAATCAAGGTCCATATCCAAAACACGGTGCAACGTTTTCTGCCATCTTTATTGAAAACATCAGGTGCTTGTTTTCAGCTCATGTCAATGACTAAGGAAACAGCATCTGTGTATATCAACCTGTAGGCCTGTCCCGGCTACTGAGCTGCTGCTTCATATTTTCTTTGAAGTTTGATATTTATCTATGACTAACCTCATACTTTAATGTACCAATTCTCACAAAATCCACTGTAACGGAAAGTGGGAGATTTTGAATAAAGGAATAACTTGCTTTGTTTGTTTTGTGCTGTTCTTGAAAAAAGGTTCAAAACTCTGAAGATACAGCTGGGTTAGAAGAAAAACGAAGTCATGAAAGATCTTGGTCCCTAGCAGCTCAATTTTTCTACCTTAAAAAGCTACAGATGTCCACCAGATAAATGTTCTGTGGGAAGATGATAATGTTGCCTTGACACTCCAGAAAAATCAGGAAGAAACATTCTGGAAGATTTCCCAATGATACTCTAACACAATCAGGTAGCTCTTGAGCAAAAAGTTTTCCCCTGGGTAAATTATAAACAAATTCTCGGGATTTTAACAACTGAAACTGCTCTACTTTTTACAAAATCTATAAAGCAATATTGGTTAACAAATTAACAATACATCTAATGAAGGAGCATAAAAATTCACAAAAATTGTTATTTAAAGCATGCTGGATGCCCTGGGGTCAATTCCCAGGATCACCAAGAAGTAAGAAATAGTCTGTGCTAAACTGTCAATTTCCCTAGTATTACTTACCCTTCGGTTAGTGACTGAAGTGAAAGCCATAAAAAGCAGTTCTTCAAGGAAAAAGAATCCGTTTAAATTTGTTTTAACTTTACTCTCAAAAAGATGCTTTACAAGAAATGCTTTCAATTAACAGTTAAAGTGGGGTAGCAGCCTAGGAGTCAGGTATTCTGAATCTTGGTCTTCGCCTACAAACTGCGATCATGGAAAAGTCACTAGGCTTCAGAAACAGTTTTTTTCTTCCGCCAAATGAAAGTTGACATTTCGTGAAGAGCCTTCCTGAACGCTGCAGGGAGACAGGCATCCGGACAGCACGCATCAGGATACAGTGGGAAACATGCCTGGAGGACCCTTCGTGGTCTAGAATGATCTAAAGGAGAGCCCGGGGAATGGTCTGCAGGGCGGATGGTATGAACTAGGTGTGACTGGCAAGCCCACTGCACCCCGAGCCTGGGCATCCAGGGCACAGGCAGCTCCACCACCTGGCAGCGCCTGACCACCCGGGAGCGCTTCACAGGCTCTCACGTGAGTTCACGTCCTCCAGACAGGGCTGCAAATCCCCGGGTGCGGACACCATCTTCCAGCAGTCGCCACCCGGTCCGACGGGTCCTCCCCACCGCCGCCCCCAGCAGCGCGGGATTCCCTCCGCCCTCACCCGGCGCCGTGGAACCTCTGCTTCCTAGTCCTGCGGCGCCGACCCCAGAAGAGCGGAGGACTGCAATTCACGTCCCACTGGAGGGAAACGGAAATCAGGCTGCAGGAGACATGCGCAGAATCGGTGGCTGGGTTGTTGGCCTCTGCCAGAAACCGAAACTACCTTTCCCATGAGGCCTGGCGACCAGTATTTTAGGATGAAAGAAGGGGGCTTTCAGCCTGGGTGTCTAAGGAAGGTGTTGTTTGCTGGGTGAAAGCACATACCTGGTTCCTCCCGCAGCACCCCCAGAGTGGTAGCGTGCAGAAGATTTTGTGCACTTGACCAAGGGGGAATTTAGAGGCAGAACTGTTATGGGAAGGAAAGCTGCATGTAAATTTCATTTCTAAACACTTAGATGAGAGGCTAAGGAGATGGCTCCCTAGGTAAAATACTTGCAATGTTAATCTCATTGTTGGGAGGCAGAGGCAGGAGGAAGTCAGAGGCTCACTGGCCAGCCAGTCGAAGGGTCAGATTAGGTGAGAGACCTTGTCTCAAGAAATAATGTAGAATGCAATGGAGGAAAACTTCCGAGGGCCTCCCCACTGTTGTGAGCACTGCACAGGCACATGCACACGCACACATTACACTATATATAAATACACAGGAGGAAAATAGATACTGGAATAGATACTTATATAGATCTCATCCATACATTGCAAGATTGGGGGCGTGAATTCAAGTCCCCAGACATTTTGTGAAAATGCTCCATTATTGAGCTGCATGCCCTACTGCATTTGTTTATTATTATCATCATCATTACTAGGTTTGATAGTATTTACAAAAAAAAAACTACCCCATACAGAAGTATGCAAAGGATGAAAAAAACTTAACCCAAAATTCACATTTCCGTACAATGTAATCTTCTCTCGTGGACTCACATAAGGATGTGTTGAGAATTGAAACTGTTATATCTGGAGATAGGACTCCAAGAACTTGCATGAACTGTATAATCAATATAAACTCATTACTATGCCTTAAAAAATTGTCCTTGGCCCTCCTGTCCCCATACCTTTTACACCCACCATCTCTGCTCTGTTTAGGACCCTTGTGGACCCAGGGTTCTGGGAGCTTCCCAGACATGCCTGGATTAAAGCATCTCTTAACTCTCTGCATAAGCATTATTATACAGCAGATGGTGATGAACACAGAGACCCACAATAGGCCAATGTGCAGAGAACAAGAGTTTACAGGCTGCTTTTCCCTGAGTAGGACACCTATATCAATCTTCTGCCTCCCAGGGCTCAGGGATCATTACAGAAGAGGGGGTGGAAAGACGGTCAAAGCCAGAAGAGGTAGATGACCACAAGGAAATAGAGTTTCCAGATAGCTGGTCAGTTACTCATGAATTCAACAGCAATGGTGACAGCATACGTAGGTCCCAAGTGGGTTAGACATGCCAACAGTGCCTGAGGAACTATTGGCAATTGATGGCTACTGGAAAGGGAAGATTCAGTCTCATTTAAGGGTAAGACTCTTGGTAGGCTGACCATGCTCCAGTGGATGAACCCACACTAAGGGCATTTGGAGACACAAACTTGACTCTACAGGTGTGTGTGTGTGTGTGTGTGTGTGTGTGTGTGTGTGTGTATTAGAGTACCAGAACTTTGGTGAGGGATTAGAAAGGGGATGTATATTTGGGAAGGGGGTCTAAATATGATCAAAATAGATTGTATGGAATTCACAAAAAAATTTACCCTTCCTTTTTGTTCTTTCTGAATATTATATATTATAGTATATTATGTATTATAGTATACCCACATATGCATTTGTTTACATATATACATGTATACACTATAGGCTAAGATGCACATATGAAGGAGAACATGCTGTTTATTTCCTGAGATGGGGTGAACTTAATATTATACATTCTAGGTTCATCCATTTTCCTGTCAAGTTTGTGATTTTGTTTTTCTTTAGAGCTGAATAATATTCCATTTTAAACATGTACCAGATATCCATTATCCATTCATCTGTTGAGGGACAACTAGGTTGGTTCCATTTTCTTACTGCAGTGAATACAGCAGCAATAAACATGGGGGTGCTCATAGCTCTACACTAAGGTACAGAGTTCTCTAGATTCATGCCCAGGAGTGAGATAGTTGGGTCACATGGTAGCCCTATTAACATTTTTAGAAACCTCAAAACTGATTTCCATAATGGCTGTGATAATTTGCACTCCCAGCAGCAGTGAATAAAGATTCCATTTTCTCACACCTCCAACATTTGTTGTTGAATTTCTTGATGACACCCACTCTGACTGGGGTAAGGTGGTTTCTCAAAGCAATTTTAACTTGCATTTACCTGATGATTAGGGATGTTGAACATTAGGAAAAATAGTTGGCTGCTTGTGCTTCTTTTTCTGAAACTGACTATTCAGTTTGACAGCCACTTGTTGATTGGAATATTATTGTAATTTTATTTCATTAGTATTTAACTTTTGCAATTCAGTGTAAATTCTGGATATCAGTCCCTTGTTTACTGTATCGCTGGTAAATATTTTTTCCCCATTCTGTGGGTTGT